GAGTAATATTCCATTGTATATATGTCATAGATTTTTTAGCTACCATTGTTCTTTGTTTTCTTTTTGTTCACCTGATTATACACCTTCAGAAAAGGCCAAGTTTTATTTCTGCTAATTCTGTCCACCTATATGTTTTTCCTTCATCAACTCTAATCTTTTCCTTTAACTTCCCTCTCCTCCTTTCCTCTTGTTTCTCTGTATTGTTGTTCCTTCTTTCCTGTCCCTCTTCCCCTTTTCTGCCAGTCCTCTCTTTGTCCTTTACTTTTTCCATCCCTTTCATCTTTACTGTCATGTGGGAGTCTCATGATGTACAAACTTTAGGACAAGAGCAGCCGTATCACAGAGTCACGTGTACTGAGCTCAAGGGTGAGGGGTGAGCCCAGGCTAAATATTGACTTAAACACAGGACACATGGACAAAGCCAGGCAAATGTGACAGGAGGAGAGAGGGGCAGGAGCCGAGGGGGTTGCTAAGAAGTGATCCTAACGACAACATACACAGAACCTACACTAGATAAGAATTAAACTGAGGATCAGAGGATGGTGACAAGGTTCCAGGTCCAGGTGTTGTTGAATAATTTCTATGGTCAGGATAGTACAGGGAATGTTGAATGGTTGCACTCCAGACCGAGGAAGGCGTACTGTCACTGAACAGCCAGCCCAGTGGCATGTGGTGGTCTGTGCAGGTCACTGTTGGGATGGCACTGCTCAAGCTTAGCTGCCTTGGACATGTTATGTTTTAAGACACATATCTTGATCTGCAGAATAGGATGCTAATAACACAAACCTTACATATTGTGACAGTCACATGAGGGAAAGCATGTCAAAGTTCTTAGCATAATTCCTGGCACAAAGTATGAATTTGGTAGAAGTTTCTTTGATTCCATTTCCTCCAACTTCTTAACCCATTTACTTTAACCCACCATCTTCCTTTCACATGCCTTCTTCTCTTCAATCAGAAATCTTGTTCCTCAGCTAGGTATTATTTAAAGTACTGTAAGTTTGCTTAAACCTAAAGCAGTGTGACCACAGGAGATGAGCCATAAACTAGATTTTTAAGTGAACTTGAATATAAGAGAAATACGAGGTGTGATAAAAAAATACGGTGAATGTTTAAATTAAAAATGTATTACAGTAAAAGACACATTGCCATTAATCCCCATCAAAATACTTTCCCTCGCTTCAAACACACTTATCCCATCATTCTTGCTACTTTCTGAAGCAGTTCTGGAAGTCCGTCTTTTGTGAGTGTCTTTACTTTATCCTCCATCATGATAATACTCTGTGTCACACATCGCTTCTGGTACGGCAATTTCTTTCAAATAAAAATATTATGGTGTGTCCTCATCTACCGTATTCACCGGATCTGGCACCATGTGACTTCTGACTCTTCCCCAAAGTCAGAATGACCATGAAAGGTAAATGTATTGAATCAATTCAGGACATCGAGGCAGCCACAACAATGCAACTAAAGACACTCACAAAAGAGGACTCCCAGAACTGCTTCAGAAAGTGGCAAGAATGATGGGATAAGTCTGCTCGAAGCAAGAGGGAGTATTTTGAGGGGGATGAATGGCAATGTGTCTTTTACTGTAATACATTTTTTTCATGTGAACATTCACCATATTTTGTGATCACACCTCATATATAGTAAATATAAAAATAATCAGATGTTTGTATGCACAGACACCAATGAGGTGACTTAATGGTTGAGGTCAGTAAAATGCTTTATCCCATGCTCCCCAGGTGATGGATAAATATGGTGAGTTCTATGGCCGAGACAGAATCAGCGAATTACTTGGCATGGACAAAGCCGCTCTGGACTTCAGCGATGCCCGGGAAAAGAAGAAGCCGAAGAAAGACAGCTCCCTGTCAGCCGTGTGAGTGTCACCTGTGCTCTGTCCTGTGGGTCTCGGTTGAAAAGAGAAAACATTAAAACAGCCTGAGCTCGCAGGTGCCTCGGTTTCTGTTCCTTCAATGTCAGTGGAATAGGGAGATGAGAGCAACGGGGTGTGCAGAAAGCCTGCTGTGACACCTTTGGGTCTTTTGAGCTGTGGAATGACTGGATTTTTTCTATTGATTTTTGAAGGTGCCTTTTTTATTATTTACATAAAGCAAAAACCAATGGGCTCTTTATTTAATTTGCCTTGTCTATCCTTAAATGTCACGTAAGTCAAGGTAACATACACATAAGTGGAATAATACATAATTATGTTTTCTGGTGTTTTTTGTTTGAAAAGAAGTTAATTTTCTTTTTTAAGTTTGAAAAAGGGAACTGTGTTTCCCTTTTAATAGAAATGTTCAAAGTTCATATTCTTTAATTATAATTATTGTATTTTATGTAACTTGCAAAGAATTTGTATGTCAGAAATAACTATGCTGCTGTATTGTTACTTGCAAAGTTTATTCCATGCAATGGAAAAATATGTTATAACTAAAGTATGTAAATGAGTTGAGTTTAATTCATTTAAAATTGAATTTCACATATACCCACGTGCACACAGACACACACACACACACACACACACACACACCTATAGTGTGAGCGTACATATATACAGATAATCTATTTTGTGAATTTAAGCAACTGCAATTCTGGAATAAATTCACAGTATATATGCTTTTAAATATGCGATTATTGTAACCACGTAACGATTTTAGAAGAATTTATTAGTTAACTTCCCTTAAAAACATATCACCCTTTCTCATCTGTGTATTTATTGTCTCAGTCAGTGAGGGATCAGTGATGTTTTCGAAACTGTAGGTATTTAAGGTTCTATAAAACCATATTATTTTGTCTTAGATAAATATTTTAGCTTTGAAAATGCTGAGCACCCAATTGAAAAATAGTTACGTAAGCCGATATACGACAGAAACTGAATTTAGATCCAAAATATTTCTTGGATGCTTTAAGAAAAAAAATGTGGTGCTA